CCCGGCCTATTGCCTCAGCAATAATCTTGTCCAACTCCGACCTAGTCATCTGAATAACTGGGTCCTCCCGTGGTGCCGAAGAAACATTGTCCCCCGGAGAGTTTTGTGCTCTTACCATGACCAACTGCCAACTACCAGGGACACCATTCTGGTCACCAGCACCTCCAGATCCCAAAGCGCCTTGATTCGCCTTCCCATCAGCCGTGGCGCCCACCTCCTTCGCTTTGTCTATCAAACCACCTGATTCTCCCTGGTTTAGCACGCGCCCCTCAAGTCCTGATGGTGGTACCAAGGTCACACTTGGGCCCAACAGCGTCTCTTTGGGGGTGACAGGCGAGGGTGACCATCCTGGCGGGGGACCTGTTCCGAAGGCCCTCCGAGCCCACTCATCATCTATCTCCTTAGTCAAGCTCTTCTTCGAATTATCTCCTGCCATGATACTTGTTCTATTCTTCCTTGGTGAGAAAAAACAACCTTTAATGCTATGGTAAAAGACTGATTCTCCCCACAGACGACGCCAATTTGTTATACCACACAAACCTGGACCGCTGGACCGCTCCTCTACGAACTGGGTTACGTCTCCTTGATCGCCGGCACCTGCAAAACACGCCGGGGGTGGTCCCGGCGCGAACACTCCGACGCTCAAGTCAGTGGTGGTCCGAAGAAAAAGTGGCAGAGTAACGAGAGAATTTGTATGTGTGTGTTGTGTAAATGAAATAACCTGCGCCCCTTTTATAGATGAAGTCATCTAGAGATTGAAGAGTTCTTATCTTAATAGGAGTCTTCCTACCAGATTAGGTCAAAATCCTAAGAATCCTTGAGGTTGCGAACCTCTTCATGACTTGAACACGATACCACCCCTGGGCTCGAGTCTCCCCAGCGAAACGTCCAGCTACCTAGTGTCAAGGTGGCTTGCCTAGCTCACGTTGGGCTAGCCTCCACCTACCACCCATGTACTCCAAAGGTATCATTAGCCTCCGCCTACCAAAGNATCCGCCTACCAATGCATCCGCCTACCCAAGCCTTCGCCTACCAAAGCATCCGCCTACCAAATTGAACCACCCAGCTGAGGGCAACTAGAACCCGGGTCACAACCGGTCCTTCATGAGCCGCAACTCACGACCACATCAAGGTTGGTCCAGAATATGCGCGATATTGTGGTATTGAGGCACTTGAGCCTCTAGGTATATATTTGCCGGGCGACATTAATTATCCAGGCGGTGCACTTTTTGATCACTTAAATCTCTCTAGAGATCCCTCTTCTTTTGAGAAACTAAAGGTGAACGAGATTAAGAATGGCCGTCTGGCTATGGTTGCCTGGCTAGGCTTTTATGTTCAAGCTGCTCTAACCGGTAAGGGTCCTGTACAGAACCTTCTCGAGCACATTGCACCATAATCTGCTTTCAACAATAGAATCTTTGCATTTGATCTGACCCTCAAATTCATTATTAGTTAATATGCACATTGTCAGTACTTGTGAAAGGTCTCCATGTAATGTAAATACATAATGGTCGAATCCGCATTTATCCTATGCAAGTCCCATGAAATAGCGACAGCAGAATACAAATTTGTTATCGTTTTATTCAACTATAATACACAATGAGGATGAGGATGTGATTTATAGAAGCTTACTCATAATCTAAGCCTAGTGGAATCACTATCATCATTTATTTTCAAAGCAATGTAATACAAACTTTATTAAGATCGTTCCTTCATCCGAGTCTTGCATAGCTGCACTTGAGGATTTTGAGCTCGAATTATAGTTACCGGAGCATTTTCATGTGTTTTTCCATGTCCAAGTTTGTTCATATCCAGTGTCCAACTTGATTAATTAAATCATGGAGTGTTTAGTGAAGAATATCATCTCTAATTCTTTTATTCTTTATATTACTCGCATTATATTCTGAGTCGAGTTATCCTATCAAAAGAGACTAGAGTACCAAAAGTACATCTGGCAAGCAAATTATTTGGTAAACTAGGTGAATTGTTAAACAACATCCTCCTTTTACTACATATTGTCCCCCATTGGACCATTTTGTCCTTAACATTTTTTTTTTTTGTAAAAAAGAAAACAAAAAATATAGTCGACCGGCAATCTTGGTCCATCGGCAAGCAATCTTGGTTGTACGGCCGCCGATTGCGGCTGCCCTCAGCGACAGTCAGCCGATTCAGCCAACCAGTCCGGTGGTCGGCCGGCCTAATCGGTCCACCCAGCCTAATCGGTCGACCGCCACCATGTGAGGCCGCAATCGCCAGCCGGCTGATGGCTGTTCGGCCAGTATTGTCGCTGGTCGATGGCGGTCAACCGATATTGCCGACCGGCCATGTTTTTTTTTTAATTAATTTAGTATTTAAATTATGTTAGAACTTAAAAATTATTATGTTATAAATAAGAATTGATTATTTTCTAGAATTTACTAGTATGTTAAAATTTAAAAATTATTATGTTACAAATTAGAATTTATTATCTTGTAGAATTTACTATTGTTTTTATAACATAATAATTTCTAATTTATAACATAATAACTTCTAAATTCTAATATAATTTAAATAAAAATTTCATCAAAAAAAAAAACACAGCCGACCAAATTCTAATATAATTTAAATAAAAATTTGATTAAAAAAAACACAGCCGACCGGCAATACCGCTGCACAAGGTGGCAGTCAACCGGAGTTTGTTTTTTCTTAAAAAAAAAAAAAATGTCAGGCGCAAAACAGTCCAAAAGAAGCAGTAGGTACTAAAAAGGGGGCGCTGTTTAGTAAGTAGATTAACTCTATATTTTTATCCGAGATATCTCAAATAAATGATGAGCAACTGCAATGTACCCAAGCCATGATAAAGTAGATTAACTCTTATTTTCATATCCTAGATATCTCAAATAAATGATGAGAAACTGCACTGTACACGAGCTTTTGTTGTTCGATCAAGAAACCAACCTAAAGTTCGGTTAAATATCCACTTAATCACCTCATGAACAACAGACCTCATAGCTTCATTTGTACCCTCATTGGGTACTTAAATAAGCTCAGACTTGCTTTTGTTTTGCCAATTATTGGGTTTAGTTACAGCTCTAACTAGAACAACCTAGTGATTACAATTTCTGGAGCTTGTTGACCGTACTTTATGAGACCATTATGGGTAGAACAAACAAAACTAAGATGCATTCAACAATCTGGTTCATGAATAGCTCCACGTCACAAATGCATGTCTGAAAACATAAATAGAACAAAATTCGATTGCTAGTTACAAAGACCAGTAGTTCCGTGTCTAGTCTCAGAGTCCAACGATGAAATTGAAATGAAAAATCAATATCCTTCAATTTTTCACTTGTAGCAAAACTTAGACCTTAATAGCATACTTCCTAAGTGGGAAGTACATTTCTTTCTTTTTCTGCTTCTCTGTTTTCAACGATGCCTGTAAACGGTAGTAAAAGTGAAATCAAAACCAAGCGCCTTAATGCTAGATTTATCAATGCCTCTTTTTATGCCAAAATGACCAAAGTAAACATCAGGAGATTAGCATTAACTTCAGAACCTGTTTTGTGGATCATGAAAAGGATAAATACTTCATCTAATTTCAAAATAGTAGTAGAATTAGGTGGCACGAACTCATACTTGATCTTTCTTTTTAGTATTACCCATCAATAAAAGTAAATGTAGTTCACATCCGTGCAACAATTAACTCAAGCTGTAAAAATAATTCTATTCCAAATGAAATTATACGAATATACGAACTAATTATATTGCAAATAAAATTACAATATGTCAACGTAATTAGGATTGTGAATGCATAGTAAAATAGATACAGAAGGCAACTTTAGCATGCATGATGCACATATCGGAAGACCTAGCAGAATACTTGTGGGATAAAGTATAAAACTGACAATCTTTTTATGATATAATGATGAAAAATGCAAAGAAAAAGAAAAAGAAATTTACGTGGTGAATTAAAAATCGCCTTACTTGGGCTTGAAGGTTTTCCCGGAAAGAAAATGTTTTAGAACCCTAATGGCTCTATGACATGTCTACAGCACGGTCAACAATAACCCTTCCTTAAAAATGTCGATATCTTTAGATCAGTCAAGTTCAAGCACTGAAGTGAGGAAATGATCACATAACCCGTCTTATAGAACTTGAACAAACGTTGTAAGTGCAACACCATACTTGAATATGAAACGGATCATCACAATACACAAGCCACAAATAATTTTTAGCAGCTTCACAAGAACAACATTCTACATTTACACACATATATACATATATGTACACACACACACACACACACACACACACACACACACACACAAACAAACAGCCGGTGCACAAAAGAGTTCACAAATTAAAAAAAAAATGAATGAAATTTTCAGAACTCGAAAAGTAATCATAAATTCTCCTATAAAATAACAAGTACATAGTATACCTAGTGCTTGGTGAGGCGACGGCGGATGGCGCGGGTCTTCTTAGGACGGAGATCGAGCGGCAGATACTTCTTGTTCTTGTACGCCTCCCTCAGCGCGGCCTTCTGCTTCTGCGCGATGACGGTGAGCACCTGCGCAATCGACAGCCGGACCACCTTGATCTTTGTAGAAGAATAAGCTTGGATCGTGAAGGGAGCTTATATGGAACACAGTGCATTGCATATTTCATATTTCTGATATATTTGAATAAAGCAGTGCTCGATTTTCTTTTTCTTTTTTCTTTTGACAGAACGCGTGTTGCGTTTTTCATTTCAGAGCTGCGTTTTAGTAATGCGAACGACGTCGTTTGGATATACATTAGGCTAATGAGCATACGACGTCGTTCTATTGTACTGCATGTAAATAAATAGTCTTATCGCCTGTAATTGTGTTTTTACGTGAAATGAAAATATCTTAGCTTCACACTCTGTGAGCTCGAGATTTCACATGGTATCCAGAGCCAAAATCAGGTTTTGAAGCTCTAAATCATCTCTAATGGCGAACAATCGATTCAATGAAGCTTGGCCACTGTTGAACGCACGAGCAGGAAACAATGGCGATGATCGAGAAGATAATCCTCTTTTCCTCGCGTCGTCCGATAATCCAGGTATGCAGTTGGTCTCGCATCTGTTATCATCCAACTCGGCAAAGCATCATCAAAGAGCCTTAAACACCATATTGAATGAAATTAAACTGTCGAACCGGCATGATCCACAACCATGTTAATCTGAGCAATAAACCGGTCCGAACTACCGAAGACCGGTCCCACCTCCCAAACACGAACCGAGGTCCCACCTCCCAAACACGAACCGAGGTCTTACCTCCTAAAGCAGGTGACAAGGCGCCTACGCATCCCCATCACAAGTTACGAGATTTATCATCATTCAAATGGGACCCACTGATCCTGTCGCTCCCTAAAAAGTAGCTTTATGAAAAAGCTAATGCACAGATCCCGATATGTACGTAAAAAGTTGCTATAAATAGCTAACCTACTACACTTGTACAGGGATCGATCCCGAACTCATTAAAAATGCAACACGCAACAGCCCATAAAGGCTTTTCACCTCGGTCCACCTCGGACCGGGGCCATTGTTGAGTTACTTTTAACAAATCGCTAATAATCACCACTTAAATCATTTGTGATATCGTTGTTAAGAATCATACGACAACAGTTTGGCGCTAGAAGGAGGGCCTCATAAGTGATTTGAGGTTACTCTCCGTTTTCACCTACGGTGAGTCACATTAGCTGTACCCATCATGTCTCACTCAGATCATCGTGGCCACACTTCACAAGACGGCCACAGTCGCAGCGCTGCGCAATCCGCCAGGCGGCAAGCCGTGGCTCCTCCTATACCAGATTATGTTGTTCTGTTTCAAAATCCAGAGTTTGCACGAGGTTTTGTCGCTCTGATGGCTCAAACGATCCCAGGGACGTCAACTACTGCCCCGGGACATTCTATCATTCCCACGACTCCTGCAAACCTACAGAACCCACCGGTGCGACAGGATGGTGGAAGAACTACATCTCATGCCACCTCTCAACCTCGCGATTGAACGTCGCAACCGCCTCCGGAACAAACCACTCGCCGCACCGACGTTGGACGTAATCCCCTCGTGCTTCCTCGAGAATAAACCGCAGAAAGTCGGTCCGACCACTCACGACGGTCGCCATCTCATGCACGACGACGAGTTCCTTCTAACCCCGCGCAAACTGACCTTTGGCAGCATATTGAAAGGAACCGGGCTCGTCAAGAATCATCCGAACTTGAAACATTACGACGGAGGATTGCCGAATTGGAAAGTCGGCAGCAAGTACCCGAAGACCCCCCTAGGCGGGCCTCAACTTCGGCGCAGGTATATTTAGAAGTAGACTCCCCCCTTACACCGGAGCTCACTTTGGAGCCCGTACCTGGGAAAGTTAAAGTCCCTCAAATTGGACTATATGATGGAACTTCAGACCCTGACTCACACCTCGGTCATTATACTTCGTGGATGGATTTTCACGGGGCTTCATACGCACTTCGGTGTTGTATGTTTTCTCTCACGCTGGGGCCTCGGGCCCAAAAATGGTACTATTCTCTCCCTCCTCACTCTATTTGGAAGTGGCAACAATTAAGGTCGGCTTTCCGATCTCATTTCATCGGGGCACAAGTTTGCCTAATTCCAAAAGAATCTCTTGCAAATATAACCCAAAAGGATGATGAAAGTGTCAAGGATTTCATTGCCCGATTTAATGACCGAGTTCAAAACATGGAGCCTTGTCACCCCGAAACCTTGCTTGTCATGGCTATTGCCGGACTGAAACCGAATTCGATTTTCCGCTGGACACTGTGCCAAAATAAAACGAACACTTTTCAAGAATTTCTCGCCCGAGCTCAGCAACATATTATAGCTGAGGAAGCCATGTCGGTCCCCGACTTTAACTTTAATCCGAAGTCATCTAAGACAGGAACTGATGAGAAGAAGAAGAACAAATTTTTTGAGAGACAAAACAAAACTCAGTTCAGGGGACCTCCCCGGGGAGATCCCAACGATCCTGAAGTTCGAGCAGCTCGAAAACAGTATGCTACCGATGTGAAGTCCAGTTATCAAACCGTATATTCTGCAGGGGCAGCCACCATATATGAAGAAATCAAATGGAAGGGCATTTTACCAGATCCCAAACCACTTCGGATGCCCGAAGAAAAATTGGACAAGTCACGTTATTGTGATTATCATAAGTCGCCGGGGCATAACACGGACGAGTGTTTAAGTTTGTTAGCCACCCTGTTGCGATTGATTGGTCATCCGCAACTTAGAAAGTTCTATCGCAATACCGATCCCCAGAGACGAGGTCCGGGGCGTCAGATTGAACCCTTTGATGAAGACGATGAAGAAGACCGAGGCGCCATGCCAAAACGTATCCGACAAGGAGATAAGGAGGTATTTAGGTTCACCTCGGAAACCTCCAATTCTGCCTCTGCTGGAACTTCCCGGGGGCGCAAGCGAGACCGATCTCCTACACCAATGCAAATCACTGTCCACCGTGTTAACACCAATAACTCTCAGAGTACATTATCCCGTCGACAAGTCAAGGCTTTTGCCCGACAAGCGTATAACTCCGGTAAACAAGTCTATACTACCGATTTGAGAGACATTCTCAACAATCGGAACTGTCCCATAACCTTTAATATGGAAGACGCTAATCATTTCGCACACCCTCATTCCGATGCGCTTGTTATCACTGTCCCTATATACAGAATTCCCGTTCATCGTGTTATGGTAGATACCAAGGCCTACTCGAGCATTTTGATGTTAAAAGCTTTTGACAAAATGGGTCTTGATCCCGCCGACATCCGACCTTGCAATGACCAAATACAGGGATTCAACGAAAGCATTTCCAGGCCTATCGGCGAAATCACGTTACCTGTCAGATTTGGCACTTCAGAGAACGTTACTAAGCTCGTCATGGAAACTTTTAAAGTTCTTGACATCAACAACGAGTATAATGCCATCATCGGCAGAACAGCCTTGTACAAACTTCGAGCTGCGGTTTCGATCTTTCACTACGCATTGAAGTTCCCGACTACACGAGGAGAAGGGACGCACTTCGGAGACGAAAGAGAAGCTCGAGAACTTGTCACATTTATACCATCCAACGGAATCCATTCCACTTCGGCGGGTAATAATGAAAATTCCCCACTACAGAACACCTCGGACGACACCGCGCCCGAAGAACCCCCCTCGGAGTCCTTAACCGAAGACCGAGGTCGACGGCCTGGGAAGGAGCCACTCATTGAAGAGGACGAATTGGACCCAAGGGCCTTATTTAAAGAAAAAAGCCGAGGTGATCGAGCTGAACCTGGAGAAGACGTAGAATTGATCTATATTGATGAACCAATCTTCCATAAATCGTTGCGTATCGGAAGCCATCTTCAAGAGCCTCTCCGGTCAGAACTCATCTCGTTTCTCAAACGTAACTCTGATGTTTTCGCCTGGAAGCACGAGGATATGAAGGGTATCGACCCTGGCGTGGCTAGCCACAAATTGAACCTCGAGCGAACCATCCGGCCTGTTGTTCAGAAGAGAAGGAAACTGGGGCCGGATCGTCAGAAAGAACTGGAAGAGGAAGTTAAAAAGCTCATCGACAACAAATTCATCAAAGAGGCCAAATATCCGACATGGGTCTCAAACCCCGTTCTTGTCAAGAAGAGCAATGGTCTGTGGAGATTGTGTATTGATTTTTCCGACTTGAATAAGGCGTGCCCAAAGGACAGCTACCCGCTCCCCCACATAGATTATATGGTTGATGCCACGTCGGGACACGAGTTGATGAGTTTCATGGATGCTTACTCCGGCTACAATCAGATTCCTATGGATCCTAAAGATTCCGAACACACCTCGTTCTATTCGGCCCGAGGCTTGTACTGCTATACTATGATGCCATTCGGATTAAAGAACACCGGAGCCACTTATCAGCGCCTCGTCAACAAAATGTTCGCTACGCTGATCGGTCATACTATGGAAGTTTATGTCGACGACATGCTCGTCAAGTCGGTGCACGCTTCTGATCATATAACACATCTTCAAGACATGTTTGCTATCCCCCGATCTTATTCCATGGTCTTAAATCCCAAAAAGTGTACTTTCGGAGTCGAATCTGGAAAATTTCTTGGCTATATGGTCAGCCAGCGCGAAATTGAAGCCAATACGGCTAAAATTAAAGCCATTCAGGATTTAACTCCCCCGATCTCGGTTAAAGGTGTTCAGGCCCTAACCGGCCGACTTGCCGCGCTCAACCGGTTCATCTCCAAGTCAACAGATCGTTGCAAGCCTTTTTTTGAAGCAATCAAGAAAGGAAAACGTTTTGAATGGACCGAGGAATGCCAAAAAGATCTCGTCAGCATCAAGGAGACGCTCGCTTCTCCGCCGACGTTACAAAAACCGAGACCCGAGGAAATGCTATTTTTATACCTCGGAGTCAGTGATTCCGCCATTAGCGCTGTTTTGATACGAGAAGAGGGACTGTTACAATCGCCTATCTATTATGTCAGCAAAGCCTTGCATGATGCTGAGTTACGTTATCCTCCGATGGAAAAATTGGCGTTCGCGCTTGTTATTGCTGCTCGGAAACTGCGACCCTATTTTCAAGAACATTCCATAACTGTCCGCACTTCGTATCCACTTCGACAAATTTTGCACCGACCTGACACCTCGAGACGCATGATAAAATGGGCCATTGAGCTCGGACAATTCGACATCCATTATCAACCGAGGACCGCGATCAAGGCTCAAGCTTTATCCGACTTTATCGCCGAATTTACTCCGGCTATAACAGTTCATCATGATAATCAGCCGTGGGTTCTCTATATTGATGGTTCCTCAACCGCCAACCGAGCAGGCGCAGGGATAGTTTTAGCTGACCCGGAAAATCGATTATTCTGCCACTCGGTGAAGTTTCTTTTCCCGGCAACTAACAATGAAGCTGAATACGAAGCCCTGCTATCTGGGTTGAATTTGGCCGAATCCATGAATGTGAAACACCTCAAAGTCTTCTCAGACTCTCAACTCCTTGTCAACCAAATCAATGGTTCATACGAAGTCAAAGAACCTCGGTTGACACCATATCTCTCTTGGGCCAAACGAAAATTATCAAAATTCTCCGCTGACGTTGAACACATCCCCCGAACTCTTAATGTTCAAGCAGACGCTTTATCTCGGTTAGCCTCGAGTACCAGAATGGAAAGTATGGAGTATGTCCAAATTGGACAACAAGAGCAGCCGTCAACCGCCCTTTCCGAAGTCGCGACCATCAATCCGGTAATATCACAAAAGCCACCGACTTGGATGGATCCTATTATCCGCTATTTGGAAACTGGGGCCTTGCCCCCGGACCCAAAAGAAGCTCGTAAACTTTAGATTCGAGCAGCTCAGTACACACTGGATAATGGAACTCTGTTCAAAAGAGGATACTCCGTCCCACTTTTGAAATGCGTGAGCGAACTTGACTCACGATATATCCTTGAAGAAATCCATGAAGGAATTTGCGGAAGCCACCCCGGTGCACATGCCTTATCTTACAAAATTTTGCGACAAGGCTACTATTGGCCGACCTTGAAGACCGATGCCGCTGCATGGGTTCGTAAATTCTCGAAGTGCCAGATATTCGCACCCAACATCTGTCAAAATCCTGAAGAGCTCAAGTCTATCTACAGCCCCTGGCCTTTTGCCAAGTGGGGAATTGATCTTATAGGACCCTTACCGACCGGAAAGGGTGGCGTCCGATTTGCCATCATAGCCGTTGATTATTTCACTAAATGGGCCGAAGCTGAACCGTTAGTCACGTTAACCGAGCAGAAAGTCGTTGACTTTATATGAAAATCAATCATCTGCCGTTTCGGAGTACCGAACTCCATCATCACCGACAACGATCGACAATTTGAAGGCAAGCAACTTGAGTCTCTTTGCGAAGAATATAACATCAAACACTTCTTCTCTTCGCCCTATCACCCGCAATCCAACGGTCAAGTTGAAGCTGTTAACAAACTCATAAAAAACGGCCTTAAAGTCAGACTTGATGCCGCTAAAGGAACATGGCCAGAAGAGCTACCACATGTCCTATGGGCCTACCGGACCACAACTCGAACTTCTACCGGAGAAACCCCATTTTCCCTAACCTACGGCTCAGAAGCCGTGGTCCCAGTCGAGCTCAGAGAACCGACGTACCGAGTTCAACATTTCACCGAAGAGTCCAACTCGGAAAATCTAAAAGCCAATCTGGACCTGCTCGAGGAACATCGTACCCGGGCCGAACTCAAGAATGCCGCTTACAAACAAAGAAGCGAGAGATATGTCAATTCTAAACTTAAGCCTCGTACATTCCGAGTTGGAGACTTAGTCCTCAAACGTATAAAGGGACCTGACCCCAGCCCACTCAAACCGAGGTGGGAAGGACCTTTTCAAGTCATTGAAGTCCTACCTCACGGGGCCTACCGAATCGCTCACCTTGATGGAACTCCGCATCAATATCCATGGAATGCTGTCTTCTTAAAAACGTTCTACTAGTGAATGGTCCGAAGTCAGATAGCCGACCCTTCTTTTGTACGGACCTCCTTTTTGCTTCGCTGGATGTACGAAGTGACTCTTTTGATGTACTGAAGGCCTATCGGCTTTCGCTTTTGAAAATCCGAGCAGCAGCCCGATACCGATGTAAACATTTTGAAACTCGGTTCTATAAATATCTTGTACCGATGTAAGCATTGCGACACTCGGTCTTGCTGATACCCCATAATATATCCGAATCTCACACATATTTCGGATGGGGGTGATGCTCGTCAAATGTCATTTCAACACACATGATTTGACGGGTCTCGAAAATTACCGAAAATAAGAAATATAAATCGGTTGGGGCCATTCCATAATCGAACTCTTACGAAGTTCCGTGAACTACATTTTTGTTTCACGTACAGCCCCAAGAATGTGTTAAGTTTCGTGAATTATTTGAAAATTCGCATA